AAGTGTGTGCTGAATAGAGCTCTGCTGCCTTAAATATTCACAGAATTGTTTGCATTGGAAAGCCCTAAAACCTGCCATGGACAGGGACACCTTCCATAGGCTGCTCAGAGCTCCATCCATCCTGGCCTTGGATGCCTCCAGGGACGGAAACATTTTTGGAAAATAAGTTTTTGAGTTGTTGAGCCAAATCAGTTGTTGAGCTGGTAAAATAACTCAGTCTCTGAGCAGGAACTTAGAGCCTTTGCTTTGCTTTAAACCCAGCCTGCTCTGGAGCACAACACCAGCTGCCCTTCCCTGAGCCCAGTTCCCTCACCCCGCTGGGCCGGGGCAGCCAGCTGAGCACAGCTGAGGCTGGTGCAGCGTTCCAGGGTGCCAGAACAAGGCCGTGTTCCCTTGCAGCTCGGAGGAGCCGGACGAGAAGAAGCTGCTGACGGAGGACGCGGGGCTGGCGGCGGCGCAGCTCATGGACGGGGACATGCAGGTCAACCAGGCCGCCTACAACTACAACGCCTGGTACCAGGTACGCTGCCCCGGGCCAGCCTGCACTCTTGCAGCTCCTGGGGAGGAAAACTCGACTCTGTGGGGTGTTGATCCCTCCTGGGTGTGCTCCTCACGCGTTACGTGGAGCGAGGAGCGCTTTGGTGCCTGTCCTGTCACACAGGGAGGGGATGGGGAGGGCAGCAGGGCCGGGTGTGTGGAACTGTTTTGCCCAGACTGGCTTTGGGGTCAGCCCCTTTCCCGTGTGCCTGGCAGTGACTCTCCAGGCAGTACTTCCTGTAGTGCCTTGGGGTGGGTTCTGCTGGTACACAGCACCAACAAAATCAGCCCCTGGGGCTCTTCCTCTAGGGCATTCTGGCTTGGAACAGAATTGTTGAGGTTGGAAAAGCCCTCTAAGACCATCCAGTCCAGCTGTTCCACCAGCACTGCCAAGGTCACCACTGACCCATGGCCCTACTGCCACAGCCACGTGTCTTTTAAATCCATGGAGCTTCTGAAGTGGTTTTATGGAAATTGTTGTTTAGACTGTGCAGAGCCCCCAGAGCTGGGAGAGCCGTGGTACCACTGGGGCCCAACCCCTGGGGAGCCCTTGGGACTGCCTACAGCCAGGCTGGGAATTCTCTGCAAAGCCAGGCAGTGCCAGGAGTCTCATCCAGCACAGACTGCCCAGTGCCAGGAGCGATGCCCTGAGCCTCACACAGCACTGCAGCAATGGCAGCTTTGGAGCTGGGCCAGGGATGGGCTCAGGCTGGAGATCAGGAAAGGTTCTTCCCCCAGAGGGTGGAATGAGCTCTGGAAAAGCTCCCCAGGGAATGGGCACGGCCCCGAGGCTGCCGGAGCTCCAGGAGCGTTTGGGCAGCGCTGCCAGGGATGCCCAGGCTGGGATTGTTGGGGGGTCTGGGATGATCCCTGGGGGTCCCTCCCAGGTGGGGATATTTTGATTTTGTGACTTTGTGATGAGGATCTGTCCTGTGGCAGCACGGTACCTCACCCCTGCCTGCCCTCCCCAGGCATTCCAGAGGGAATGGCACTGCTGGCCTGCATTCCAGGGGGCTGTGCTGGGCACAGGGGCTGGGGGAGCTCTGTGTGTGCAGCAGGGACATCCTGGCTGATGCTGCTGCTGTGTTTGTTCCAGTACAACTACCAGAACGCCTGGAATTACGGACAGTATTACCACACAACCTGATCCCCGCAGGGAGTGGAGTTCACTGTGCTGCAGTTTCAACAAAGATGG